AGCAGGCTCCTCACTGTCAGCACAGAGCCTGACTCGGGGCTCAAACTCATACCCCGTGAGATCATGACCTGAGCCAAAACCAAGAGTCAGCCGCTCAACCAAAGGAGTCACCCAGGCATCCCTGAATTGTGATGTTTTCTAGCAGTTTTAGAAAGATCCTTCAGGGGGCAGTGTGGAGGACAGAAGGGAAGCCAGAAGAAAGGGAGGCGGCCTGGTAGGAGGCAGTTGTCATCACCCAGGCAAGCGATGGTGACACTTACTTTGAACGGCGCCTCGGGGAGCCCTGCATGAAGAGGAGGATTTGCTTCTCTCTCAGCAGCCGCTCCCTCCTGCCACACGGCCACCAGAGCCCATCCCGGGGCAGCTCTGGCTCAGCCGGTTGCAAACAAGGGGCACCGAGGCCACTGTGACCAGCGTCGCAGGAGATGGAGAAAAGGAGGTGCCAGGCCCTGCTGCTGAGCCGACGTTCTGCCAGCAGCGATGACTTTTCCTGCCAAGATGCGTCTTGTTAACACACCTGCCTAAAAGAGGAAAAGGGAACCCCCCGGCCAGATATAGATTTGTTCCTCCCTGAGCCTGGCAGCTGATTTGGCAGTGTGAGCGCACGGGCGTCCCACTAGGACAACCTTGTTATAAATCCAAGTAGGAGCATGGCGGGGGGCTCTCGGGAGTGGGTAGAGGCCGCCCGGGAGGTCAGCTGGGGCAAGCAAGGCAAGAGAGTGAAGAGCTTGTCAAGAGAGTGCTGAACTCACCTGCAGGTGGGGAGCCAGGAAGACCCTGTGGGGGGCCCAGAGACCTGGAGGCCAGGTAGGACTCGTGGAAAGCTGTCCCAAAGAGGGACAGCTGATATGTGCCTCCAGAGCACTGGGCTGGGGGTCAGGGCTCTTGGTTCCAAGGTCAGCTCTGTCGCTGACCAGCTCTAACTTTGGGCCGGTGGTGTCATTTTCCTGGGCCTCAGCCCCTCCCTCTGTCAATGGGAAAGCTGGGTCGGATGGCCTGCGTGGATCCCGATGGTCCTCACCGTGTATGGTACTGGATATTCCCTCTGCAGAGAGAACATCCTCGTTCTGGATATATTTTTTGAAGCCCTCAATTATGAGACGATTGAACAGAAGAAGGCATATGAAGTTGCTGCCTTACTCGGTATGTCGGTGTCTGTTGCACAAATTTCCACACGTCATGGCGGGGAGTGAGGGGGAGTGGGCAGGGGGTAGGCAGGCAGACAGCACTCTCAATGTGCTAATTACGCCCTCTGTCCCAGGATGGGAAGGCCTCCGGTGTGGCGGAGGTTTTAGGCTCAGCTCATGCCCCAATTTAAGCCTCAGCTTCCCCATTGACACAATGATGCAAGTGAGCTGAAAGGTCTCTCAGGGCCTTCCCAGGGCTGCCCCGTTGGACTCTGCGGTCTTCTGCCCCCAGGTTGGAGTGACAGTCCCGGGGCCACAGCGGGAAAAACGCTGTCCAATGGAGGGAAGGCTGAGCTTTGGGTGGTCCCCAGGCAGTGAGTGTGAGTGTGGGACTGGAAAGCAACATGGCAGCACTGGGGCCAGATGTCTCCCCTGGATTGAGAGTCCTTTGTCAAACACAAAAGAAGGGTCACACATCCCCAGATGTCTACAAACCTGACTGCCGCCCCCACTCAAGTTCACATCAGCTCCCCTGGCCGCACTGCCAAATAACAGATGCAGGGAGTTCCGTTCAACCCTGCCCCCCCGCCAAACTCACAAAACCCCTGGGGGTGGTCAGTTGAAAGACCTGTGCCTTGGGTCCTTCTCCCAACTCCAGCTCACTCTCAAGAGAGGACATGATGCTGTCCCTACAAGGAGAATTAGCCGCTGTTGTCCCTGTGAGTTGGACAGAGAGTGGTATCCTGGGGAAGGTGGGTGGCAGGTGTAGAGGGAAGTATAGAGGTTCAGAGCCAAAGACTACTGCATACCAGCTCCGAGAATGTGGGCAAGTGGCCTCACTCACTGGACGTCAGGCCCCTCATCTGTGAAATGGGTCTAATAAAGCTGCTTGATGAGTTCATTGTGATGGTTAGCCGGGGTAAAGCCTCAGCCCACAGAAGGTCCATAAAGAATAGTTTCTGGTACCTGGACAGTCACCATGCCAGAGACCCAGGGCCCCCGCTGGTGATTCCAGGCACCATGTGAGCATTTCTGCACCTCTCCCAGGCGACTGGGGACTGAGCCACAGCTGGGACCCAGTTGGGTTAAGGTGGCTGTCATTTGGGTCTCAGACGCTGTTGCGGCCAAAAGGGACTAAGCCAAGACTCTAATGTCCTGGGCCGGAGGTAGAGGTCATGCTCCAGACATGTAGACCCACTCACCCTGCCTCTGTCACCTCATTTCTTTTTTTTTTT